AGATGATTTGATAGCACCATTCGGGCGATTGCCTGATGACAGCGCCTGTGCCAACGGCTTGGTGGGCCGAACCCGGCGAAAAAGTGGCTGCTGCTGAGGCGGTGGTGGCCGAACTTGAGGAGGTGGCTTTCGAAATTCTGGTCGCGGGTCACTTGCTAGGGAGGAATAGCAACTTTGCGATTTTGGTGATGATGCGTGCTCAGACGACGACGCCAAGTCCCTATGAGAAGAAGAACCCATCATTTGTTGCTTGAACCGAGGATCCCCTTGGTGAAAATGAGATTGGCTCTGTTCACGTTGCTGATGATGAGATGGGTTCTGATCTTGTTGACTATGAAACGATGGTTTTTGGTGCTGCTGATTACGATTCCAAGAAGTGTATTGCTGCTGTTGGTGATGGTGGCTGCTGCTGTCCCTACTACTACTGGTACTGCCACTGTACTGATCGCGTGCTTGATGATGATGAGTGAATGACGGATTTCTTTCTGGTCTCGGTTGCGACTGATGATGATGATGATGATGGCTAGTAGTAATGTGCCTAGCGTATGAATTGTTGTCTCCTTGATGATGCTGGTGGTTGGGTCGATGCTGCTGACCGTGCTGTCCTTCTGGATAGTGGTGTTGCTGGCCGAAACTACTACCAGTAGTAGTGGATCGGTTCTCTTGCGATTCAAAACTTTTTTGTGGCTGGCACTGCTGTATCTTGGATCGAATATGTTGTTTGTCTCGGTTGCTACGGGCTCCGTTCTGCTGTGCCAAATGATAAGTGGGTTGTTGTCGCAGTCCAGGTCCCATCATTGGTGGCCTTGGCTGTTTGTGAATTGAAGCTGCCGCATTGGGGGGCGGTTCGCGCCTACCGTTTTGCGGCTGCTGCTGATGACTGGAAAACCCGTTGTTCCACGGCCGATGTGGGGGAGGGTTTCGAGGGTCCATTCTACTACTACTATCTGCTATCTTTCGATAACGTCCAAGTCCAAACAAATCTTTCGTCTGTGTGGGAGCCGCACACACTCAGCTGTCCTTGGCTTTGTCTCTTTCCAGACCAATCAATCTTCAACGCTCCAACCGTACCAGGTGCCGTGTCATACAAGCACCACTCTTGTCTGGATCCAATGACAAGAGAGGAGCAATGATTGTGATGGCAAAGCAAAATGGTCCCTGCTTTGTTTGTTCAAAGAGAGTTGAGTTTATGCCGAAGCGCCAATTGATTGGGCCAAGAAGGGCGCCAACAACGAGACAGCAGGTTGTACCGGTAGAGTTTACCTCACGGTACGTTTCTACATACAGTAAATCGCTTAAACAGCTAACGTTGAAAACCTGCTGCCGACAGCATGGAGCGCTGGGGAGTCTCAAGTCTCAAGCACCAACAAGAGATTGGAAGAACAGTTTTGGAAGCTGCCCTTGACAAGTAAGTGTTGCCTTTTAGTTAGCTGTGGATCCAATATCCAAAGCAGCCCTCCCTGATGCTGCTTTCCTTTTGGACACTTTCTGCTTGGCTTCCTGCAGACGATGACACCAGTAATACCAATTTTTGCCTGCTGGCTGCTTTTGCTACCTGCAGATACCACCAGCAGCATTTGCAACACACAAAGAACCCCTCTTAGTTAGAGAGAATATTTGCAGTTGCACTAATGAGGAATGGACACTGAACGATTGAAGAAATCTGGACAGTATCCACACAACTTGAACATGGAGGCTGCAGCCAACCACAAAAGGCACGATCAATATTGTTCAACAATGACAAGTCTAACTGGCTGTCAATGCGAGCATGTGGTAGAAAGAAATAGATAGCTTTAAATAGCAGAATGGCCATTGTTTCTGGTCTACTGTTAGTTCTGGAAATTGACTATCCCCAGCATTCCACACAACTTTCCCTCTGCCTTCACTTGAAAACTTGAGATTTTGAAGTCACCTGCATCATTGGTTTCTGACACAAATTCTGACACGGCAAGCCTGCCTTGCCATGAAAATGCAAGTGGCACCTAAGTATCAGATAAACAACCAGAATTAAAAAAGATCTCTTTGGCACTTTTCACTGGCATGCTTCCTTGCAACCACAATTGTATAAGATTCTGAGCCAAAAAGGAACTATTTAAAAAACTCATAGTAGCTAGTAGCTACCGGTACAAGCTGCTGCCAGTGAAATTGGTTTGTTTCAATCCAGAGTGTGATGGACTCGAAATAAATTGCCGAAAACCTTCTATTTTGCCCCTTTTCTTTGCTTTTTCCTGGTCTAAAGCTAGCTATGCTTAGCTGTGACAGCACTAGCTAGGTAGCCAGCAAAGTGCAGGCACTGGTTCCAAGGTGTTTGCTGCTTTGGTTTTGATGCACTGTAAAAGCCAGTGAAGCTGGTATTGTGGTTCTAACGGAGACTGGTGTTGCGCGCAAAAAGCACCACAAGAGGAACCACTCCAGTCACTCAGCATTAGAATAACGACAGAACACAAGAAGAACCTGCATTTCCCGCAGATGCCCGCAGTGTGGGGTGATTTTCCGTCCTGTCATTGGGCTGACAGCTGATGTCACTTCGTGGTTGCACACGCACGTTGCGAGCTTGGATCTTCGAAGAAGCATGTTGGTCTCGAATGAACGAGCCAATCAGGAAAAAGCGCACGCCCGTGTCGTGACCTCCGCTGAATGGTCAGCAGAGCTGCTTGAAACATTTGGTAGGAGGACAACTGGTGAGAATACTAATAAACTGGTGGCCATGCAGAGCTCCATGCAGTCATTCCCGCCGCAGCCGCCGAGCGAACCGGCAGCTTCATCATCAACCATCCGCACTCCTCCATCATAGTGTTGGAATAAAGACAAGACCGAGCAACTACCGCTCATGGCGCTCGCCTCGTGATGCCGCAGCTCTGCTGAAGGCTCCAATCCATCTTGGCCTTTCGTTGTGCTACCACCGGTATCGGCGGCAGCATGACGGCTCGACAACGGCACGACGGCAACCTTGACGGTCTCGTTGATATCGATCAATCGCTGCCATCAGTCGCAACCATGATACCAGGGGCGTTTGCGAGACACTTGATTGGCCGCGAAGTTCTGGTCTGCGCAGGCATGCGGCGGTAGATGACTGCTTCCACACGCGATGTTTGCCGAACAGATATCACGAAAACCAGAACTTTGACGGGACCAGCCAAACCAGAACCTCGACGGGGTCACCCAAACGAGTTGTCCCATTCCATTCAACCGGAAGAAGAGCACAACAACCAAAGCGGACAAGTGGACCATGGCCATTATCTCCCTCGGTTGAGTTGTCCTTTCGCCGCCTCCAATGGCGTGCTACTCCCTCCCGCTATTGTTCGACGGATCGAGTTGTACAGGAGTGGCTGGGACTGCGGCGTGTTTCGTGGTCTTCCGCAGCTCCATCAACCGCTGCTCGTTTGATGGGGATTGACGGCGATTGTGCGCTATCCAAGTTGGTGCTAGTGCTCATCCACCCATCACCACGGAGGCCACAGCCACCACTTGGTCGCGCCTCTCATGGCCTAAGATGCGCCGTTTTCTTTTCGTAGGGGAATGAATTTATCAATTGCAGCAAATCGAACCATTCTACATGTACAAGAAAACGAACCAGGGTTGTTTGTTTCCCGTTCGCGTCCGCTGACCGACTACCTATTAGCTGCGTTGTACAATTGCTCGCTGATGGTTCAGAGAGAGATTGGAAGACAGAAGACAGCAGCAGGGCCGGCAATGACTGCGGCCTGTGGCAGCCCGCAGCGGACGGGCTGGTTCTGCTGTTGCACAAGCTACTAGCTAGCTAGGTACATGCAGTAGCTGTGCCGTAGCCGGCCATAGCTGGTACATGTAGTACCGTACCACCATGCAAGAAAGCTGCTTTGAATCCTGCTTGCACACTGGTACACATGTCCAGTTCCCAAGACCAAGCCAGGACAAGAAAACACTGAATCCTGCAGTGACAGTGCCCCAACTGTCAGCTGACACTCCTCAGCAGTGAAGTTCTGATGAGAATTCAAGTGCTCACTTGAAACATTTGATGAGAACCAAGGTGTCACTGGAACATTTTGGTGTCTCACTGAAACATTTTAGTGTTTCACTGAAACATTGGATTCTTGCATCTGCCACATGGGTAGTACAGCATGGGCTACAGTAAAAGCCAGCCAGCCGTCAGGCCAGTTGGGAATTATGGACAAGTTCTCACTGGTTCACAGGAAGTGTGTTTGTGATCTTGCTTGGGCCATATGAAGCGAGCCAGCCAGCCCTCAGATCACTGAGGAAGTGTGTTTGTGATATTGCATGGACAGTGTTGTCAGATATACAATGCTGCCTGGGCAAAATTGCAATAACACTTCCTCCTTCTAAGCACTTTCCAGAACACACTTCTGAAGTGCTGGAAGTAATATGAGTTCTGGTTTTGCTTGTCATTCCTTCTGGTTTGACTAACTCAGCAGTCCAGAAATAGTTTTGCTGAGGCAACTCAGTACCTAACTAGCCATCACCTGCTAAGGATAGATGCCATAACTTGTGGAAAGGCAGGCCAAGAGCTGTTGCCATAATTTGCCAATCCAATTCAGTATGAGATCACTTTTGTTTCATTGCGAGTGAAAGGGATGGTCTCACAATCTCCGAAACTTGAAAGCCAAAGGGCTCCCAAAAGAGAAACTTTGGCATGAGCAAGGATACTCTCAACAGGAGAATCGTTGCTGTTGCGTGAATGCATTGCTCCAACACGCTCCAACACAACCTGGTGGTAGGTAGCAATTTTAATTAATTGCTTTGCTAATAAGGTTAGTGCTTTTTGACATTTTCCGTGCCTCCAAGATCGCCGCGAAAGTTCAAAAGAGAAAAACAGCGAGGGAGCTTCCCGTTGGACCCCCTCTTGCCCTCCCAAACTCCATCTCATTTCTCTTGTTGCTGTTGCATCATGATGAAGGCAAATCATTACTCGTTCCTTGAGAAGGAGAGTCCTCCAAGCAGCATTTTGCCGCAAGGGACTGTTGCTGTGGATAAAGGCCAACCCTGCCGAGTGGAATCGAATCATGAGCGCTGCGACTAACACTGATAGTGTGAAGAAACCCAAAGGCACAGTCGGTCGACCCCATCCTGTTACTCCTTTGGTTCAAGAAAGAGCTGTTGAGTTGTCGGGGTGGGCGGCAGAAACGCTGAAGTTGTACCGGGAGAGAGTCGAGCAACTAAAGAATGAGCAACCAAAGAGAAGAAAGCCAGACATGACAGCCTTCGCAGAGCTGAAGAATACCCGCACTCCACAGAGAAGGCATGGAGAGCTTCCAGGAATTCCCGTCGGCCTGTGCCTAAGAGGACGTGGAGAAGCCGCCATATTGGGGATTCACGAAGACATCACAAAAGGGATTTCTGCTCTCCAAGACGACCCCTGCTATGCCATCTCTTTGTCGGGTAAGTACGCCGATGATAGAGAGACAGATGATGGCAAGATTTACTACTCCGGGGAAGGCGGAAAAGGCGAAAACGACAAGCAGGTGAAAGATCAAGATTGGGAAAACCCAAGAAATGCGTCCTTGAGACTTTCCGTAAAGACACAAACACCAGTGCGTGTAATCCGAGCTACAACCAACAAGGATAGGGAAATCCGATATGTCTACCTTGGCTTGTATCGATGTGTCAAGTACACATATGAAACAGGCAAAGATGGCTTCAAAGTTTACATGTTCACTCTGGTTCCAAGCATGGAGCATGGAAACTCAACACCACGTTTCTCTCCTTTGGTGCGTTCCAATAGGAGCAAACTTGCCTGCAAGACACCGCGAAGGAAGCAACAGCAAGTAATGCATCCGACACCACGTTTCACTCCTTTGGTGCTTTCCACTAGGAGCAAACTCCCCTGCAAGACACCGCGAAGGAAGCAACAGCAAGTCAAACAACCAACCACGGTTAGAAGGGGCTCTAAAAAGTTGACTGTTCACGACAGGCTGAACAAATCCATGAACAAAAACATGCGTAGACTGAGTCGCAGTTAGATTGGGCCTTCCGCGGTATCTGCAAGCGAATCAGATCGCCTCCATAGCATCACGTTCTAAGGTTTGCATAGTCTAAGTCAACGCAGGATACCCAGTACCTCTCCCAATGCTGGGGTAAATATCACCAATATATCATATACTTCGAGTCGTTCGATAGGATATCTCCCCTTGTTGGTCTGATAGCGCAAGTCGGTCTTCGTTGGCCAACCGCCACCTGCTTCTGAGCCGCCCGTGTAGCTAGCTAGACGTTGGGATTCCGTAAGCTCAGATAGTGACGGTGTTGCAGGTATCATACTTACTGACATCACTTGCAGCCCTCTCATTTCCTCCCATCAGACTCAAGTGCTGGGAAGGATGGGGTGGTCTTGCACCACCCGCCACTGCAACCTCTCCACAGTTCCGTGCCGGGGATACAACAGTTTTTGGCTTTGAATTCGATTGAACTCAAGTGAGCTTTTCCCTTCATGTCGCATCCTCTGAAGCGTGCTGTATCGTGGACTCCCCACTCTCCGCTCAGGTAGTAGCTGTAGATACTAGCAGTACCCTTAACAAGACCATTTGATCGCTGAGACCAGAGGTGGTGATGTTTCATAGTCTGTCACCCCTGACGGTGGTGATCCCTCTTTAGACTGCCCCTGAAATCCCGCACCAATAGTTCTTCAAGGGGAATCGAATCCGCACAAACTACAACTGCACAGCCTGCGCGATGGGACTGGTTGTCGTATGTATTCGCAACACGGTGAAAAGGTGAAAAACAACGGTGTGCACAAGATGCACCTTGTACTTGTCTAGACAACTGCTATGGAATAAATGTATGTGAAGTAGCGTTTTATATTTTATTGGTGTGTTTACATGTTGTTTGTATGACAGTGGTAACAAGACTCTCGGCATCGTTTGATAGTTCTTTTTGAGTCCTTTGATTATACATGTATGTACAGGAGATGCCAGTGTCGGTTGCGAAGAGCGATTCGATTCCCTGCAAATTTTTCAGTGGGGTTTGTGTGGAGGCTGACATATTATAATTGCTCCTTGACTCGCGTTCGTCGCATGTCCATCTCTTGGTGGGGCCCATTATAGGAAGCAACCTGCCATTTACTGTTGCATATCCCCTTGGACATCAAAGTCATCGTCAAACAAGTCATCGTCGATGATACTCAAGGCAGCATCAATGATTTCAACGACTCTCATTCTTCGAGCTTGGTTGGCCGCAAAACGGCTGCGTTCTTCTCCCTGAGACGACGAAGACGACTGTCCCATGGTTTGCATACTGTGTCTGCGGTTCATTTGGAGGTACGAGTTGGATGTGGTGCTGGTGGTAGGAGTGGATGGCTTCATGGTGCTGTTTGGATGGAGGGGAAAATAACTGGTTGTTGGTGTTTTCCTGTTGAGCTAGTCTATTTCAGAATTGTGAGTTCAAAGCAGGAAGCTCGAAGGAGTTGCGAGGACCCTGCAGAGAGTTTTACTCAGAGTACATGTAGATAATAGATGTAAAAAGTTGTTCGGAGAGTTTGAGAGGCCTCTGAGGTTTCGAGTTTCGAAATGACCGAGGTGCGAACTCCATCGAAGACACTTCCCCGAATAGAGTAGGTTAGAGTTGTCATCATAAGTCAAATTTTTCCATTGGCATTCGTCCACAAGTGAACGAATTCTGACGTATGAAAACTTCTACTGATGTTTGACTCTGGAAATCTCTGAAGCGAAATTTCGTCAGGGGCTTCTGACCTCGGGTTTCTTTGATTGTCTGGGGCAATAGAACGGCCTCTTCGAGGGATATTTCAGACAGAAGCGGCAATGACCCTGCCGTGTGGAGAAAAACTGACTGTGCATCCAATGCGAACTTGCAGGCTGCAGGCTGCAGGCCACTGGCTACCGTTAGGCGAGCCTTGATTTGATCTTGCCAACCCAGTCTTCTCGCACCATTACCGTAGCAGCAGCCAAAGGAGCAAAGGAGCTGGTTTGTACTCCGAGTAAAGCTGGATTTGGTCACCACACAAAGTGTCGCTCTTGGCCACCACTGTCCTGAATTGATGCTTACGTCGCAGAGCACTATGTCGCTGTGAAGCGAGCGCTGACGGGATTGATCATCGGGGATGCCAGAGGAGCCGATTGCTTCATTCGCCCTCATCAATAATCAAGACTTTCCATTCCCTTGCATTTCAAGTTTCCTGAGGACTGAAGGAGTATATTAGACTATTGGTAATGCACCTTTGGCCATAGAGAGATTTATATGATTACACGAATATCTGTATAAGAGCCAGCCAGGCCAAGCAATTGGTACGAACATTCCTGTACCAAATTGGCTCGTAGGCACAACCGCGGTAAACAATACTCGGCCGCTTTTCCTTTTTCAAGAGGAATCAAACAACGCTGGGGCCCCCCCAAAATGGCCACTACAGAACCCTCCAACCAAGCAGCAAGTGCAAGTGAGAAGATCGAGACAATGGATGCAGCCAACGGAGGGGCGTTTTACAAGAACAGGAAGCAGCTCAGTATTGGGGAGACTTGACATCACTGTCGACGGAATACGGGAATGAGTACTTCTTCTTCTTGGTTGGCGGGGACGCCATTAACTCCTCGACAGCTGCGTGACTATCGAAAGAAGAAGAGCGCTCAAAGCATGCGGCCACTTGAGACAAACAGTCGAGAAGAGGGGCTTTAGCAGAGGCCTTTGCCTTGGCAGGTGAAGGACTGTCGATTTCGCCACTGTCAGTGGTGTCACCGTAGGTGACACTATCATCGGCCGCTGCTTCCAAAGCAGTTTCCTTCGCCCACTTCTCTTTCAAAGCTTCCATGGCATTCGCAATGCCATCATCAGGTTCAGACTCTCGCTCCTCGCATTCGTCGTCATACGCCCAAGGATTCTCGCACTCTGTGATGAGACTGAAGCAAGCCAAATGCTTGTCATAGACAACGCGGTAGGTGTCTTCATCATAGTCAAATGCCTTGCACACAACATCCAGCAGCTCAGGATCGCGTTGGGGGTGGGGAAGAGCCAGCTTCAATATCTTGAAGTTCTCGAGATCCTCTCGATCAGGAAAGGCATTGGGATCAGGATTCAACATGAGCCGCTTGCCATTCCAGGCATACTTGATGAGCTTGGTTCCTAGAAGATCGTTCAAAGAAATTGGTTCAAGGGGTGGAAGGTTCTGATGGCTACGGTAAATGTCGACACACTTCTTCTTGTTTTGGGCATGAGCAATGAGGTCAAAGCCAGTCTTCTTCATTTCTTTCAGTACGGCCAGAGTCAGAGTCACAAAGGGAAACCCCAGGAGAAGTGGAATTATCCGAACCGCCATTGGGGGAAACTGGTTTGGAAATGGATGACATCTTACAGGGGTTCAGAGGGGAAGAATGGTCCAGGCGCAGCCCAAATTGTGCGTACAGCGAAGCAACAATCAACCTTTACACGAACATCGCAATAGGAGTGCAGGTTGGAGTACCCCGCAACTCCTCCAATGAGGAGAGTACAAATTGAGCCAAAATTCCTCTCGCATTGGCTTTACGGATCCACTATTGAATGCGCAGCAAAGGCAAGAAGACAATTTTTCATTCGGAATATTGGTTCTGAAACCAAGAAGAACATTCACTTATTTTGCGACGATGACACTAAGAACGTAGTTTGGGAGTAACTCTTGCTAAATAGTACTTATACGAACGGTGTTGGCTGGGTGATACCCTGCACGTACATCAAAGAATGCCCGTTTTCGTGAATCCTTTTGCTTCCTGATTTTCCTTTGGTGGAATTGCCATCCTGATGCGACTGACAATGTTTCGAACCTGTGTGTAAGATGTGTCACTGCCGCGTAGCATCTTCCTGTATGCAATGCTATTGTCATAGAATTCTGTAAGAGCTTCGAGTAGGTCTTCGGCTGTGTTGGACTTGACGAACGTAGTGGCATCCACGCCCCTGGGGATCAAACACAAGTACCGAACAAGATTTGCCAAATGAGCCGAATGCAGGGTGGCAAGATAGCTCTCGAATGTATCCAGCATCTGCGGCAGACATCTTCGCTTGTTCGCATTAGAGCTAGAGAGCCCGCTTTTGTACATGCGTTTGGTACTGCCTCGCGATGGGGCCCTAACGACAGTTCCATGAGCTGTGCTGTTGGTCTTCCTGAGGCCCTCCAGATGCATCTCGAGAAGCCCAAACTTGCTGCGAAGGTAACAGGCACAGGGGCAATTATAGCCAAGATGTTTCACGCAGTCATCGCAGTCGCCAACAATAGAACCATCCTTCCATTGCAAGTGACAAACAGTGTTAGTTGCCGATACCATAGCATCTGCGATCACGTCGGAAGTCGTGCCGCTGTAAATTCGTCGAAAGTGTCGCTCGTCTCCATCGATGGCGGCAGTTATCATTCGAACGCGATCTGCATCAAGGGGAATGCCAATCCTATGCCTTAAGTTGCCCAACCATCCACCAGTGGCATTGCCGGTTTCATCAATACCCATCTCAATAATATCGATTCCCTCGCGCACGAAGCCAGTAACAGATACCATCAAAGGGGAACACGTAGTTGGAACAAGAATCGTGCAAGGATCCCCTCTGGTGTTGGCATCTTCGCGGAGCAGTGACTTCGCGGTGTGCACAAGAAAATGGGTAAGGGAAGCATTCTTGGCGTTGTCTGCACAGACACTCTTAATGCCATGCCTGTTGAAGCTCTCGTTTGGACAGTTAGAAGGGTAGACACCAACCTCTCCACTGCATGAATAGTTCCAATTCCACTTAGGATATTGGCAATACTCTTTCACGAAATGATCTGCAGCATTGTGTTCCCCCCGTTCCCTCCAGCTAGCCATGTACAGATCAGTCACTGTTCTTCTCTGTTCAATGGATTTGGTTCTGGAAATGTTCGTTACGTGTTGATACGCGGTTCCTTGTAAGGTTCGTTTGCTTTGATCCTTTCGATTGGCTGCAAAAGCTGCATCTTTGATCTTTCCGACATAGCTGTTCTTTTTCGCGAATGCTTGCACGACATGGAAATAACAGTTAAGAGCAGCCTCCTCATGGAGTTGACCGTCATCACTCTCAGCGTCTTGGTGGTCGTCTTCGTGATGGTCTCCTTGAAAGTCTTGTGTCATGAAGTGTGTTGCCAAGGGGGGCGGCACACTTACGGAGACCTGCAAGGCACTTGTCATAGCAGGAGAGTCGCAAAGAGTTGCGTTCTTCTTGAAGAAGACATGAGCCATGACAAATGTGTCAGCGCTGTCAGATACCCCCCAGTCAATGTTAAACTCGATACCGAACAGCATCCAGCAAATATTGCGCATGGCATACAGAGTCATGCAGTATGGATGAAAGCGTTCCCCACCAGCACGAAGGTACAGGATTGGTCTGAACGAAGCTGTAACATTCTTGGCCTGTTCCCGTAGCTTCACTGACAATGCCCCTACTGTTATCAGTACGCTCTGATCTCTGATCATGCCACCTGTACCATCTGAGCATATTTGTTTTGTGCCCTTCCTTCTTTTGGCTATCGTCAACAGTTGAAACAATCCAGTGGGTGAGAATAGAAAGAAGGCTCCTTCATTCTTCTTTTCGACATCTCCATAATTCCAGTCAGGATGCTGGTCTGCCACTCGCTGTTTGTACTGCTTCAGCATATAGCCACTCGAAAGGTTGCAAGTGAACATGCAGTCAGGAGAACTTTCCAGTGCTGTGGCTAGCTCATCAGCTGACTTATAGTCACTTCTCTTGATGTAATTGATCGGTATGTTCAATTTCCAGTTGGATAGTACTCGACATAGGGTATCATTGGTTCGTAGAGAGGTATAGCCGTAGAGCTGGTCCTTGATAAAAGACTCCCTCTTGTAACCCACATGACTACGTATCTGCCTAGTCAATCGGTCTCGCTCCTCCCTTCCAGTTACAAGGTGTCTGTGGTTGGTGTAGACTTCGTCTGTGTCATTGCGAATGGAGTTGGTGAGTGACTTGATTACTTCGTCCGGAGTAATCCGTAGGATGGACCTTCCTCGATGAACTTCTCCTGCGACGAATTTGTTCACTAGCGACATCAGGGCAGCAGGCATTCCATACTGCTGGTTGTGTTTCGTAGGTTTGCTTGTCACTGCATGGCTGTGTCTGTTCAGCCCTTTCCTTATGAACACTCTGAAACGATTCTTGTGGTGTACCAGATGCCCCAGATCTCGAGTTTGCCCTCTCCAGTCACACTTCCACTCGTCGTTTCCTCCTTTGGCTCTGCAGCTGAATTTGTTGCATGTGACGCCCCCACTAAGCTTGTAGGTTCCGTCTGCTACAATGCACTGTCTCCCATTGAAGAAGCCACCGTATTCATCGAAGACTTGGGCTTTTGCATCCTCTTTACTCCCACATGGGAAACACTTTGGGTCTTCCACGTACTCTCCAATGCTGGATGCCTTCGGCTTTTCTTCATGCCTGCTTCGTACAACTGTGCCGGTGTTTGTTGGTGTTGACATTGGGTTGTACCATCCTTGATTCCCCTGCACTGGGTATCTGTAAAGATCGTAAGTTGCACTATGCTGGTACGGTACACTATGCTGATACGGCGCACTATGCTGGTACCGAGCATCGACCACTGGTGCATTCCAATGACCTGTGCATGGCCTTTCGTAGGCATTGGGGCGATGATAGACAGAAACATTAGTGTATCCATGAGGATACGGGGCATAATACGGTGACTGGTACGTGTACGGTGCGATTTGTGTTTGCATTTGGAGGTGCTCTCGGTTACCATTCTGCGAGTACGTTCGGCGATTGCTGCGATTACTGGGTTGTGGGCGATACTCGCCACTTGAGCGATGCCACTGTTGGCCATTGTCGCTCATTTTGCTAATGCCAAACTACGAGGCTACGATTTAGCGATTGTTCCTTTCGCGATTGCACTTCCTATGAATTTAAGCTACTCTACGGCATTTCCCACCAGCCAATTCCATCATCTCCGTTTTTTAAATGCTTTCTGCATTTTCCATGTCGCAAACATGCACTTTGGGTAGGGTATAGACCTGTTTCCCAGCCAGGAAATTTCGTATCCTACTCCAAATTGTGACTCTCACCAGTAGGAGCGAGCATGATTGTGTGGTGGCCATCCACACATTGCCCTGTCAATGTAATTTATTCGATCGAGTGCATGCCAGCCTGGCAGTGCTTGCTTTGCCGCCTATTATCCAGGTTTTCGTGTGTACCCGCCACTTCGCCAACATGTTATCCTTCATTTCTTGGTATTTTTGAAAGCTTCTGATGTTACGCAATGGTGCTTCGTCTATTCTGACCTCTTACTGGACCGTCTCCTCTTCCGTTGTCAACAGCCATGGTGGTGCTTTATTTTTGGTTTCTGCAGATGCCTCTGACGCACTTTGGTGCCTTCCTTTTCTTGGCATTGTCACTTGCTTTTGCCATGCATTTGGAGGGTATTTTGGGGGGCCCCCATTCAAGTTGGAAAATTTGGAGTATCGTTTTGTTAGAATCAGATACTTAGGCAATGTAAGTGGTCCTCAGTTTCAGTCTTCAAAACTGTGCGCGCATCAACTTCTACATAGTGATCTAACCCTTACTTTACCTTTCAAACTGCAGCCTCGGCCCATGTGTAAGCCATATACATACTCCACGACTTGAAGTGCCGTGTAATCTGTTGCTTTATTCA